GGTTATTTTTATACATATCCCATTAAAAAAAATAAAGAATTACATTTTGTTGCTTAACAACTACTACAAAGTTAGCAGCTTAAAACAACACCCATTTGTTAGTTTACTGTTCTATAGGACACGTCTGGCCTGGCTGGGTTCCTGCCTAGGACGTCACATGGCTGGTATCAGGGTGTTGACTGGGCTGAGTATTGGCAGAGAACAGACTTTTGCAGGTGTTGGCCTTGAGGTCTCCATTTTCTTTTTGCCTTTCAGCTAGGCATTGCTGAAGGCTGCTCTCAGGTCCTTCCCACATGGGCCCCTCTGTCTTCAAGACACAAAGGTACACTGAATCCTTCTTGTGTTTCAGATCTCCCTGACTGACTCTACTGGAACCAGCCAGAGAAAGCACTCTGCTTTCAAAATGTTCATGTGGATATGTTAGGCCCACTGAGATAAGCTCCTTATCTTTAGATCAACTGGTTAGTAACCTTACTTACATTTGCAAAATCCCTTTGCCATGTAAGGTAGCATAATCATCGGAGTCATCATAGAATTCTGCCTAATATACTTTATATAGGCATTCTCTGTTATATAGATTTTTAGATTGAATACCATGATAAAGCCTTTGGAACATTAAATGTGATTCATCATAATATATTGTATTTAGGTTAAATTACTTTTGTCATGAATGTGATGTAAAGGATTTGCAGTATTGAAAAATACATTTACTTTTTAAAGAAGTCTATGAATGTATCAGATAAAAAAACATTTAGAAGACATAATTTCACAAGCTATTATAAATGTGTAGCTTATGCCTGAAGTTCTTTGATTCCATCGAATGTCAATGGGTAGCTCCTCTCTTCAGTGTATACTGTTCATCATGGTCATGGTCATACATGCATGATAGAAACTCAGACTATAGAGCTACGAGACCAGAGATCATCTGTCAGCCTCCCTCTCCTCTTTTTTTCATAAATGAGGAAACTGAGACTCAGAAGGGGGATAACGACTCAGAGAAAACCATAAAGCCGGCTAGTCGGTGGTAGAGATTGGCCTGGAATACATGTTCTCTGATTTCCTGTCTAGAAGCCCACATATATACTTATGAAAAGTTAAAGTGTTGCTTGCTTAATTGTGTCCCAACTCTTTGTGATCCCATGGACTGTAACCTGCCAAGCTCCTCTGTCCATGGAATTCTCCAGGTAAGAACACTGGAGTGGGTAGCCACTCCCTTCTCCAGGTGATCTTCCCAACCCAGGGATCGAACCTGGGTTTTCTGCATTGCAGGCAGATTCTTTACCCTCTGAGCCACCAGGAAAGCCTCAGCATTCATGACAGTATCATTAATTGAAGATTTTCTATATAGCAGGCACTATCCTAAGGATTTTAAATATATTTTTCTTAACTTTCACAAATTCTGTGAGGTAGGCATTATTATTATCATTGCCATTTACAGTTTGAGAAAGCTGAGTCACAGAGAAGGTAGCGTGCATCATGTCAGCCAGCTGGTACATGATAGCGCAGGGATTCTAAGTACGGGATTCAAAGAGAAGCAGTTGTCTACCGGGGCCCGACCTCTTCCCTGGGCTCTGCTCCTTCCATCCCAGCAGTTGCTTCTAGTAGAGCCTTCCACATATGCTTGCAGCCCAGTATCCTTTCCTTGAACAGCTGTACAGGCTACTCACAGTTATATTCTGACAACAAATCAGGGAATAGCAGAGAACTGGGAGTCAGGAAACTGTGTATAAACTCTGGTTCCATTATTTTCTGTATGGCTTCAGGGAATTGTGTCACAACTGGGACCCTTGGATACTGTATCAGGAAAATGGAGATTGTGAGAATTCTAAAGAGGGCACGTTAAAAGCAATCTGTAACCAAGAGGATTACATGCTTATTCTACTGTTATTTATTGTCAAAGGGAGGATAGTTCTCTTTACCCTGTAATAGCAGGTTTTCAAGTCACTTTTTCTGTGATGAGTCAGACATTGAAAGAAAAATAGTAGATTTTTGACACCGCAAAGGCTGTGTTCTGAGGCCTTTAGGAAGTCATGTTTTCTGTGCATACCCTCATTCTGAATTTTCAGATGTCACTGAAGTTGTATGTCTTAGTTAGTGGTGATGTTTCATTCAGGCATTCTTCACCAGAAGCGAACAGTGCAGCTTCCACAGAGGGGCCGGGACTCCCTCACAGCAGCCCAGCACCTTTCAGGATTTCAGTTCGTACCTGTACAAAATTTTACTGCTTTTTTGATTGATTTGTGTTGATTTCTGCTGTATAGCAAAATGAATCAGTTATGCATACTACACACATACCCACTCTTTTTTAGATTCTCTTCTCTGTAATAGGCCAGTGCAGAGTATTGAGCAGAGTTTCCTGTGCTGTGTACAGTAGGTCCTTATTAATCACCTATTTTATATGTAACTGTGTATATGTCAATCGCAGTCTCCCAACTTACCCCTCCCCCTCTTCCTCCTTGGTGATAACTCTATTTCTGTTTGTAAATAAGTTTGTTTGTACCATTTTTTTAGATGCCACATATAAGTGATATGATATTTGTCTTTGACTTAACTTCATTCAGTTTAATGTGGCCATTCTGAGAATCACTCTCAAATAAAATCATAACTATTGAGTGTATGACTGTCAAGATCTACTCTTCATGCCCATCCTTTTTGTTGTTGTTGTTAACATTTCATTGTTTTATGAATATGCATATTTTTTGCTATACTGTTTGAAAGTAAGTTGCAAACAGTGTAAGACTTGAGGTCTAAATACGTCAGCATGTATCTCCTAATGATAAGAAAATTTTATATAATACATGCCATTATCTACCTAGGAAAATTAACAATTTTCTTGTCCTATCTAATATCCAATTCATATTCAGATTTCCCCTACTTGTCCTAAAATTTTAATGATAAGAAAATTTTATATAATACATGCCATTATCTACCTAGGAAAATTAACAATTTTCTTATCCTATCTAATATCCAATTCATATTCAGATTTCCCCTACTTGTCCTAAAATTCCTTTTAGTGTTTTGCTTTTACGGTTTCTTTCTTTTTTTTTTTTTTTTAAAGAAACCAAAGTATACTCATAACATTTAATGGTTACATCTGTGATATTTTTAAATCTGGGACAATTTTCCCACCTTGTTAGTTTTCGTGATATTAATTTTAAGTGATTCTTGAACAAAATCCCATGTTCTGAGTTTATCTGGTTTTGTGTGTGTGTATCATGTATCTTGTTAGTCTATCCTATTTCTGAAAACTTAGAAGATCGTTACAAAGACCTGATTAGAAACAGGTGGTATATTTTTGTCCCGATAACTTGATAGGTGCTACAGTGATTGCCACACTGTTAGTGCTTCTAAGTTTGCTCCCATGATTAAGATGGCCATAGCCAGGTTTCCCAGTGTTAAAGTACGTATTCTTTAGTGATTAGAACTAATTTGTGGGATGATTTTTTGGCTTATATCAATATTCTTTTATTTAATGGCATTAGCATCCATTGATATGTCTTATTTGAATTATTCCATTGGAGGTTGCAAATGAGTAATTTTAACATTTTATCATTTTATACACATATTAACTAATCATTTCTCTGGAAGGATATACTTTCCCTCATCCATGGACGGTGATGTATCTCCTCTTAATAGTTCATATCAGTACAACATGTTTTACTATCAGTTATCTAAAATATCAGCCTCAGTTGTAGATCACTCTACATATCTACTGATCTATGGAACTGAGTTGTAGATCAATCATTACACATTTTATATGTACTTATTAAAGCATTTTGATGTACATTAAAGTTGGAAGTGGAGAACAGATGAAATTTAAAGCAGTGTTTCAAAACAGCGTATATTTCAAGAAGTTTGATGGAAAGGATTTCCACAAGTCATTGGCAATATCACCAAATATTTATTGATCTAAAAGGAAGTTATTAATACCAGACAATAAAAGAGCTTACCATCTCATCTCCCAAAATACTGATGATATGTATGGTCAATGTGGATAAACAGTTAGGCCTGACAGGGAGTAAATTAATATAAGTATTTTGAGGCATCCCACNTGTCACATCTGCGGTCTCGACTCCGTTTCTTTCCTATTTGGGCCTAGTGGGCTTCCACAAGCAAACCTCCTAGTCAGACTGTTAAAGATCCTTAAGAGCATGACTTGGTGGTGATTGTACTTTAGTTGCTAGGTCATGTCTGGCTCTTTTGTGACGCCTTGAACTGTAGCCCACCAGGCTCCTCTGTCCATGGGATTCTCCAGGGAAGAGTACTGGAGTGGGCTGCCATTTCCTCCCCCAGGGGATCTTCCCAAACCAGGGATCGAACCTGAGTCTCTGTGGATTCTTTGCCAACTGAGCCACCTGAGAAGCCCTGAGAACATGACTATCCATGACCAAAAGCTTATAAGCTCTTTTTCACTTGGGAGTGCTGGGTTTTGCATTCCCTATGAGAGTCTCTCTGAAAACTGCCAATAGATGTGAAAAGTGTTTTCAGGCAGGGCTGTCTCCTTAGTGTAGCTTTCTTTATACTTTCTAATATTGATCACCCTACAAAAACAGGTTTTTGTATGAAAGTTGAAGGTAGAATTGAGGATTACTCACCACCTATTCTTTGGAAATAATGTGAAGGCCTACTTCTTTGACTATGACAAAAAGAAAAAAGAAAAAGACAGGCATAAATTAAATCTTGATTTAAATATTACAATGAAAACAAAGCTTATTTTATTTTACATAGCTTGAACCTTTTTGTTCCTTTTGTTACCTATTGGAACACTGTTTTAAATGGAAATAAAAAATGGTATTTTGTGTTTCTTGACAATTTTTTAGAAACTTTTCATCCCACCCAACAAGACGAGATTGAAATACCTTTTCTGTCTCCTACATAAAAGCACTTTAGATTTACGCAGTTTTTTTTTTTCATCTGAGAATCTCAGTGCATTGGCTGATACGTTTGTTACCTGATGGTGATGACAAAACTATCACCTCTTTTGTCTTCTGTCTTTGCAGAAACTGGAGGTAAAAAGCTACGGAGCACTGTCCAGAGAAGTACAGAAACAGGCTTGGCCGTGGAAATGAGGAACTGGATGACTCGACAAGCAAGCCGAGAATCTACCGACGGCAGCATGAACAGCTACAGCTCAGAAGGAAAGTGAGTGACACTGGCAGAGTGGTGGTCTCCTCCACGCCTCCCTGGAGTCTTCCTTCTCTCCCCCTCTCTGTGTTTCCATAAACGCCAACTCGCATGCTCTGTGGCTCTGATTTAACTTTCACTGGCTGATTTGCTGTGAAGAAAACTTTTGGCTTACCTGCCACTGAGAAATGTGACACTCCTGGCTTTTATATCAGTGGAAATAGGTTTGGGGATAAAGTGTTTCACTTTAAAGGCAAGATGCTAAAACAACAACTGTCACAAAGGGAAGTTTGCCTTACCCTGAAATAATACATAAAAACACAGGAGCACTTTAAGAACCTATGCCCATGCCACATGTATGATGCTAATTTTGAAAATCTTTGCTCTAACAGTTATTATAAAATATAGAAAACTGATACATGCTTAGTTCCATGCAGTAACAAACAGTTTGGATAAATGTAGCAACCAAAAAGAAATGCCACAAAGCTTGCTGAGCCTTTCCTTTATGTAATTATCATGTAGCTTTCCCTTGACTCCACTATGTCTGAGATATTTTTAAGGCGTTCCTAAAGATTGTACAGCCCTGTCACCCATGAATTAACAGTAATTAGCAACTGCAGAGCTGTAGATGGATGTGTGAAGGACATTAATAGAGGAAAGGGGGGGTTACTGACCTCATCTGTCATCACTATGGAAGCGGCAGATGCTTAGGCAACATAGTGCGTAGTCAGTTCACAAATGTGAGGCCATGGGAGCGGCTGGCAGAGTGTTGATGATATTGCCTTAGGAATCATTTGCATAGCACAGTTATGTAAATACAAGAGATGTATATGGTTTTCATACATCTATAAATAAGGTTATGTGTGATATTTATGGAAGCATTAAAAATGTTCAGATTAATTATATATTTGGGAACTAAGCTCGGGGAAGAAACAGATTTGACATTAATAAAGGAAGTCTTAAAAGAGATGGAGAATCAAGTAAAAAAGAAATGTACATGAGCACTCATCACTGCAAAGTGCTGTGTTAGATACTGTTAGGGATTTTAAATGTTTGAACTATGACCCCTGCACTCCAGATGCTTATGGTCATACTGGAGAAATGGGGTTAATACACATAAGTTCACTTAACAGGTATTTCCATACCTTCTAATGTTCTGAGTGCTTCACTATGAGTTGGGGATGTAAGTCACACAAGGGAGCAAAACTCAGTTGCTGGTATAACATAGGCTTTAGAATCATATAGGCTTAAATGCTAATCTGTTTTTGGTACTATACAAATTTGGGCAAGTTATGGAATTTTTTAAGATTCACTTATTACATCTTTTATCATTCATTTCTTTTATTCATTAATTGAGTTTAATAAGTACATACAGTATTGCAGGCATGGTTCTAGTGCTGGAGATGTAGCAGTAAACACAGAAGAAAAAAAACCCTACACTCAGCAAACTTACTGTCTAACAGATAAGATATATAGTGCGTAGTCAGTTCACAAATGTGAGGCCATGGGAGCGGCTGGCAGAGTGTTGATGATATTGCCTTAGGAATCATTTGCATAGCACAGTTATATAAATACAAGAGATGTATATGGTTTTCATACATCTATAAATAAGGTTATGTGTGATACTTATGGAAGCATTAAAAATGTTCAGATTAATTATATATTTGGGAATTAAGCTCAGGGGAAAAAACAGATTTGACATTAATAAAGGAAGTCTTAAAAGAGATGGAGAATCAAGTAAATAAATGTACATGAGCAGTCATCACTGCAAAGTGCTGTGTTAGATACTGTTAGGGATTTTAAATGTTTGAACTATGACCCCTGCACTCCAGATGCTTATGGTCTTACTGGAGAAATGGGGTTAATACACATAAATTCACTTAACAGGTATTTCCATACCTTCTAATGTTCTAAGTGCTTCACTATGAGTTGGGGATGTAAGTCACACAAGGGAGCAAAACTCAGTTGCTGGTATAACATAGGCTTTAGAATCATATAGGCTTAAATGCTAATCTGTTTTTGGTACTATACAAATTTGGGCAAGTTATGGAATTTTTTAAGATTCACTTATTACATCTTTTATCATTCATTTCTTTTATTCATTAATTGAGTTTAATAAGTACATACAGTATTGCAGGCATGGTTCTAGTGCTGGAGATGTAGCAGTAAACACAGAAGAAAAAAAACCCTACGCTCAGCAAACTTACTGTCTAACAGATAAGATAGACAATAAACTAGAAAATGTATTTAAGTGCATATATAAGAAAACCTAGTAAAATATATAATAGACTGGGTGGTATACGTGCTAAGGAGAAAAGGTAGGAGGAGAGCCGGTGGAGGTTAAGGGTAGGGCTTTGTGAAGGACAGGGAAAGGGGTACATCTGAGTCAAACTCGGAAGGAAATCAGTGAGCATGTAGGACATGTGAAGGACATTTCAGGCTGAAGCAGCGCTGAGGCCAGAGCTTGCCTGGCATCGACAATGGGAAGGGCATCCCTGGGGAGTGAGGCAGAAGTGATAAAAAACTAGGAATTAAGATATGGTGGGCAGGGGTGGACGGCTGGTGTTGTCTTTACATGTCACTGCAAGGACTTTGCTTTACTCAGATTGGGGTGAGAAACCAACGCAGGATAGTGAGCAGAGACCTGACATTGTCTGGCTTCAGCTTTAACAGATCAGTCTGGTTGCTGTGGGAGTGGAGAGTAAAGGTGGCAACGGGGGGATCGTTCAGGATGCTGTTGCAGCAACGTAGAAGGAGAACATGATGGCTGGGACCTGAATGGTAGCTTTAGTGAGGTCAGATTCTGGATGTATTTGACGGGGAACCAGGAAGATTCAATGGTGCATTTGCTGTGAGTGTGCGGGAAAGAGTGCGCATTGGCTTGGTGTGCTGCGTTCAGGCGTGTCCGACTCTTTGCAGCCCTATGGACTGTGGCGTGCCAGGCCTCTCTGTCCACGGGATTCTCCAGGCAGGAATACTGCAGTGAGTTGCCGTGCTCTTCTCAGAGGACCTTCCAACCCAAGGATCGAACCTGTGTCTCTAGACTCCTCCGCTGCAGGCAGAGCTTTCTGGGAAGTCTGTTAGGGCTACTGTTAAAAATAAAAAATAAGAATATAGCACAGATAACATGAAGAAAAATGTCTGAATTTATTTTTAAATTCAAAATTCTCCTGGTTGTTCTCCACTGAGAGGCCTTACCACTTAAACAAAAGAAATTTATTTTCTCATAGTTTTGGAGGATGAAAGTCTAAGATCAAGCTGTCAGCAAGGTTAGCTTCTCCCAAGACCTCTCTTCTTGGCCCCCAAATGGCCACCTTTTCACAAGGTCCTCACATGGTCTCTCCCCTCTGCATATGTGCCCCTGGCGTTTCTTTTAAGGACACCATCATATTAGCTTAGGGCCCCACCGTTAAGACTTCATTAACCTTAACTATCCCTTTCAAGTTTCTACCTCCAAATACAGTCGTACTCGGAATTACAGCTTTAGCAGTCCGTCCAAAGGAAAGACAACTGCAAGGCTGAGCAATTGAAAGAATGAAGTTGCCATTTAAGATAGGAATCCTTTGAGAAGAACAGAGTTTGGTTTTCTGTTTGTTTGTGGGTTGAGAGTCAGTGTGGGACGAGTTGAGTTTTGATTGCCTGTTAGACATTCAAGCAGGTAAATAGAGCAGTTAGAATACAGGTCTGGGACCCAAGGGAGAAGCCCAAGCTGGAGATGTCAGTCTTGGTAATGTCACTGTGGACGATGTTTAAAACCTTGAGATGGGATGAGATTGCCAAGGGAATTGGGACATACAGGGAGGAGGTCAAAGGATCAAGTGACTATATTTAGTGGTAGAACTAATAAAGGAAACAGTGAAGTAGTTACAAAGGAAAACCAAAAGACTAGAGGGTTCAGGAAGCAGTGTTTTCTGAACAGTTACTTGAAACACTACTTCAAGTAAGAGGGAGGGATCATTTGGATCAAATGAGACTAATATGTTCAATTAGATGAATACGGAGTATTAGCAGTCAAGATTTACCACTCTGGTTATTAGGTAATCTTGATCAGAGAAATTTTGGTGGAGTAGAGAAAAACAAAGCTTGGAAGACAGCAGGGAAAAACTGACTAGAGTTTCACTAGAGAGTGAGAGGAAAGAAGCTGAAGATAGGGACTTCCCTAGCAGCCCAGTGGTGAAGACATCGAGCTTCCAAAGCAGGGAGTGCAGTTTGCTCCCTTGACAGGAACTAAGATCCCGCCTGCCTGTGCAGTGTGGCAGAAAAAAACAAAGAAAGTGAAGTTGCACATAGAAACAGCTTTCAAGAAATTCCTGGCAGAGAAATGAGATTGTAGCTGAAGAGGAATGGGTGTTAGGGATTTTTTATTTCTTTAAGGTGGAAGAAATAGCAGTGTGTCTGGGTATTGATGGCAATAATCTGAAGGCTTTCTTCATTGATAAAATGGATTAAATAACAGACTGTCTCATAAAGCAGCTAAGAGATTCAGTATGCTCATGTCAGTCACGGAATAAGTGCTCAGCATGTAGGAGTGCTATATGTAGAACTCACAGTTCATGCCCTCCAGACAAGGAAGAGAGAGGCAGACAGACAGAAGCGTGCATGCAGTACCAGATGGGGGCTGCTGGAGGAGAAGGAAGGAGGGCCGTGGAGGTGCAGGGGGCGCTTGGGATCCAATTAATATAAGTGACAAAATAGTGACACCAACTTCTCCTGCCACAGGTAGGGGGCTAGATGGAAACAAGAGTTGAGGGTAACACAAAATAATCCTGTGTTGTTTTGCTTTTAGTCTGATCTTCCCTGGTGTCCGCTTGGCCTCGGATAGCCAATTCAGTGATTTTCTGGATGGCCTTGGCCCTGCCCAGCTAGTGGGGCGCCAAACTCTGGCCACACCCGCAATGGGTAAGAACTTCTGTCATGTGATTCACTGTTTTCCTTTTAGCTTATTGAAAATCACATTCCCCAATTTCATAAGATCTTTAAGAGTATTTTCTGAAATGAATGTCTTAAATTTTAAACAATATAAGCTTCAGTTTTTTCCATTTTAATTTATATGCTTTTTAAGGTAAGATATCAGTGATATATTTTTAAATATATTTGAATTTAGGAAAATACATGGGAACTGATCCAACATGGTTAAACCAAGATCTTTGACAGAAGCATTTTTCTGTCTGCTTTTGTATGTTAAGGCCTGTTTGTTCCTTCCTCACTCACTATTAGGTGACATTCAGGTAGGAATGATGGACAAAAAGGGACAGCTGGAGGTGGAAATAATCCGGGCCCGTGGCCTTGTCGTAAAACCAGGTTCCAAGACACTGCCAGGTAAGAACAAGTGAGATTTCTTCTGTTGCTGTTCAGAATCTATACTTTTCAATTCAGAGACATTGTTTTTGAAGAGATGCTGAAAACTTTGTCTTTAGACAGTCAAGGGTGCTGATAAATGAGTCAGTTATCTGTAGTAGTTAGCATCTCTCCTGAGCGAGCACCCAGTGAGGGTGATCTGGTGGGGAGAAGTCATTAGCTAATAAGCACATATGTGGTAGAAACCCCACAAAATAAAAACTATCACACATGTATGATACGTATGATGTACGTATGTACATGTTGCACAAAATGAATTACCTAAGAAGTTCTTGTTAGCTGGTATTTTGTGTTATTCTTCAGTTTATCTGAGCTTCAGAATTCTCCTTAGAAATCCTTAGAGTTCTGGAATTAGAATAAATATAGATAGATATAGGTCCCCATAATAGCATAAACCCATAGATGAAGGACATTCTAGTTAGAAGACTCTTACTTCCTGGAGTGTATAGAGAGGCACCATTATAAGTTTTTATTGCAATGTCACATTTTGTACCAAAATATTATAATCTAAGGTGCTTAGAGCCATAGGGAATGCCAAAGATTCCAGATGCCTGGTGCAGAGATGTAGACAACTTCAGACCTGATGTACAGAACAATTCTGAAACTTGGTTTCTCACCTCAGCACCTCCACTGAATGAATTGTAATTTTGAATCTCTAACCTAGAAAGTTCACATTGTTACCCAATGTTACCTATTGTATAACCTTGCATTGGTGATTAAGACAGTCAGTTGTGTTCATAAAGGTCTCAGAGTTTAGTCAACTGATTGCTAGAAAGAATACCGCAATTTGTACATGCATGAAAATGCTTTTATACTCTGTCAGAAAAATATCAATCCATGGTATTTATAACTAGTTGTCTCTTTCCAGCTGATTTGAACATATTACATCAAACCCCACCCTTGTCTTGTGCCAACACCATCAATAAATAAGCCAAGTGATAAATGCTCCATGGGAATGGGTAAAACTGTATGATTTTGAGCATGTTTAACTAGATTTATGAATTGGCACATGAAAAACCAAGTGAGACCTCTTTCTTGGATATTGTTAGGGACCAGAAGAATTTCTTTTTTAAAAGCAGTATATAAAACGAGTTGATGGCAAAATAGTATCAACTCAGAGGCTGTGTGAACTGCCTAAAACTACCTGAATGACTGATATTAATCTATTGTTATCTAATAATTTATATCTATTGTTTATCTAATAATTTTGACATAATGTGGACAGGCCAGTGATTTTTGACTGTTGGCTCTTTCAGCCCAAGACTAAGCTGTGGCAGGTGTCATCCAGAAGTTGAGTGTTCTGTAACCATAGCTCATCTCTTAACTCTCCTGTTTTCTTTTCCAAGCACCATATGTAAAGGTGTATCTATTAGATAATGGAGTCTGCATAGCCAAAAAGAAAACAAAAGTGGCAAGAAAAACGCTGGAACCCCTTTACCAGCAACTATTATCTTTTGAAGAAAGTCCCCAAGGAAAGGTTTTACAGGTATTTACTGAATTATATATTCCTTACCTAAGAAGGTGTCTTTATGAAGTCAAACTTTGTATCACATTCTCTTCCATTCCTCACCAGCTGAAATTCTTGGGAAACTTCCAAGCAGTGGCCAGTGCTATAGAGCTGTACACAGCAGGGAACTATGTTGAATATCCTGTAATAAACCATAATGGGAAAAAATATGAAAAAAAGCCATACACACTGTTTCCTTTAAAGTAAACTATAGACTTGTAAACCTCCATCACACATCAGCTCTCATCTTCCTTGATGGCTTATGATCCTAACACTCCTGTAGAGTTTTCTGACTATACCTTTGAATTCCAGTAAAGATAACTATCCCAGTAATTAAAAACAACTACATAACTTGATGTTTGATGTCAGCACATTTTATGAAAGTTGCTCAGTCGTGTCTGACTCTTTGCAACCCCATGGACTGACTATATAGTCTATGGAATTCTCCAGGCCAGAATACCAGAGTGGGTAGCCTTCCCCTTCTCCAGGGGATCTTCCCAATGCAGGGATCAAATCCAGGTCCCCTGCATTGCAGGCAGATTCTTTACCAGCTGAGCAATACGGAAGCCCAAGAATACTGGAGTGGGTAGCCTATCACTTCTCCAGAGGATCTTTCTGACCCAGGAATCAAACTGGGGTCTCCTGCATGCATTGGCCAACTGAGCTATCATTAATTGATTGTATTTTGGTTTACAAGCCTTTATGTACATGATTATACTGACATTGCTCTTTTAATTTTGCCAACAGATCATTGTCTGGGGAGACTATGGCCGCATGGATCACAAATCCTTTATGGGAGTGGCCCAGATACTTTTAGATGAACTGGAGCTATCCAACATGGTGATTGGCTGGTTCAAACTCTTCCCCCCTTCCTCCCTAGTAGATCCAACCTTGGCTCCTCTGACAAGAAGAGCTTCCCAATCATCTCTGGAAAGTTCAACTGGACCTTCTTACTCTCGTTCATAGCAGCTGTAAAACTGTTGTCATAGCAACCAGCGTTACAAAAAAAAAAATCACAGGTCGCAAACCCTGGTAACACTGCATGCTTAATGTTGTGTCTTCTGAGCCTGTTCCTGGGGATACAAAGCGATCCTGTGTTCAGAGGAAGTGGCACACATTGTGCCCTAAGGGAGGCCCTCAGGTGAAGGAGCGGCGCTGTGAAGAGCTCTCAGGTTTGGAGTGCAGTAACACTCGAGTTTTGGTCCAATCTGAAGCCATGGATTAATATCAAAGAATCAGTCAGTTTCATGCAACAAAAGCCCTTTTCAATGGCACCTTTATATTTTTATTGTTCCTTTTTCTTCATTTCTCTGACCCCAAAGTCCTGTGATGCCACAGAAATGGAGCTATCCAGCCATTAAGCCATGTTATAAGTGAAGGACTGAAGTCCTGGGAAGCATCAGGTGAAAAGCGAGAGACCAAAGACGAGGTCTAGGACAGAATGTCAGCCCTCCCCTGGACGGGACAGGAGCAGCCGGTCCAAAGTGACAACGTGGGCAGTGGCAGACCTCGGAGCTCCAGCAGGCATGTCATTCACTAATGCCAAGATGTGTTGGACTCTGAAAAACAAAATTCTGTGGCTCCACTGTACTCAATGAGATTAAACTTTTTTTTGCATGGACAGATTAGCTGAATATTTAAATTATTTTCTTGGGGCTGCAACTTGCAAAAAAAAAAAAAATCAGCCATTTTCGACAATTTATATTATTTTTAAAAAATAAATTTCACTAGTGCATGGTTTTAAAAAAGGGAGAGAATGCAGCAGGGTGATACAAAGACACACCATGTTTATTCTTTAATCACAGTCTGTGTTTTGGCAGACATTACAGAAGAAAATACTTTCTAGAAAATACTTAAAATTCTCTTTATGTGACAAATAAGTATAATGTATTCAATTTATTTCCATGGTAAATATACAAATCTTACAAAGTTCAACATGTGCAAATTATCACATCTTTCTTCCTTTCTCTCACTTTTCCTCTTCTCCCTCTTTTAATCTTTTTATTTTCTTTCTCCCTACTAGAGTCAACATTATGCTAAAAAAAAAAAAAAAAAATCACAAGTCTTTGACTCTCTTATACCCCATGTTCAATTCAGAGCTGTAGATGCTTCCGAATTTCTCAAGGGGGGAAAAAACTATTTAAGAACTTTCTTTATTTCAAGCATGTTGAAAAGGATTTTGCAACATGACTTGGGAGTACATTAAAGTAAGTCAGCATGTGTTTGATAAAGAAGATATTTGAACTTTTGCAATTTATTGTACAGTGCATGGTAATTTTATTTTCACCTTCCAAGTTCAGTTTACAGGAAAATCCTAAAATCATGTGGCCATTGTAATGTCTAATAAATTTGTTTTTAGCACCAGCATTATTCATACAGGGGTTAAAGTATTATTTCTAGAAGGTTTTAAGTTTTGTTTTTAATTAATTAAAAGCAATTTCTTTAGCCAGTTTCCATTTACTATGTGAACAGAAGCACTGCTAAAAATTTGGAGCCCTGAAATACAGGGCAGTTTATTAATTCATTTTTCTGTAGTAAAACTCAATTTTTCACAAATTATATTTCTAAAGAAACATAGCAAACATAAATTTGCAACAGATAATTTTAAAGCTCCAATTTTTAGGTAACTCAAAGAAAGTCAATCTGCCTATTAACAATTCTTTGATGCCATCACCGAAAGTCTACACACAAATGCCCTAAAGTCAAACCCCTGCCTTTAGTTTTACAGACAGTTATTACCATTGGGTGGTGCTGCAAGGTCAGATTTCTCTTAAGTTCCCCTATTTAGAGGAAAAGTCACTGAGGAATGTAATGAGCCACCCATAGTTTCTGTTTCCTTCTGGACACCTTGATAACATGTTCTTATAGTTTGATTTTAACTTCTGCAACAACTTTTGAAATCTACATACATACCATTTGTTTATGTTAATGCCATGCACAAAAACTGCTCTTTTGTGTTCCTTTTAAATTCAGTGCTGACCATTAAAAACTATCATGCTTGATATGGTGCAAAAGTTAAAAATGAGTATCACTAAAAATGCCTTCTCTTTATGTGGTGCAATATGAAATACACCAAGGCTGTGTCTTGACATTCTGAGACCTGCGATGGACCCAGGTAAAGTTGCGAAATAAACGAATAAAACTATTGAAATAATTTAGACACTTGTGTACCAGCAACAATTGATTTAATAGACCTATAGCGTCTATACTGTCCCTTAGAATAAACGTTTAACATTTTCCTGATACTAAAATGCAGTCACATAATCTTTTGTGCATATTCCTATATAAATTATTTCTAATTTTAATAAGAAGGACATGACTGTATGGAATATTTGTACATACCTGTCATTATGCAGTATTTATTTTAAAGTTGGTGTTTTTTTGTTTTTTTTTTAATTTTCACATGTCTGCACCTCAACTTGTGACCTAGTCATGTAAATAGCACTATGCCAGTGACCATTGCTGCCCTGTACATAGTATGTTTTAAAAGTGAAGGGAATTCCAGTTGGAAAAAAATAAAAAGGGCAGATTAGTCCTGTGATGAACACCAACTAATGGAAAACTCAAATTCATTCTGGTGATGGTATTTAACACTTTAAATAAAACATTTTCTTTACAGACGTTGTATGCATGGCCTTCTGACTTCTCTTCTCCCCACGCATTCCCAAACCTGCTGCAGCTCATTTCCTGAACCCACACATCACTTAGAGACACTGAAATCATCTTCTTCTGCCTCTCCGTAACAGAAGCAGACCGCTGGTCTTAGCAGATAGCCCTCAGCAGAGCGCTTCTTTTAAACGCCAGAGGATTTCAGCTCACATCATTACATTTGCTGCTTTTCAAAAGGTCATTCCACATTGAGGTGCTTTCTGATGAAGTCACTTGGCAACTCCCAAATTTAAATGAATGAGATTTCTGAGTCAGTGTGGCCTCCACTGACAGCAGAGTCAGAATCATGTACCAGCCATTCCCTGGGTGCAGATGACAAGGGTGACAGTTGGCTCTGTGCTGTGTTTCCACTGACGTGTCAGTCCAGCTTTGGGGGAGACCAGGGTGGGGTGCATTTTCAGTTGGGGAATTACTTGTGAGCTGACACCTGGTGGTTTAGTCGCTCAGGCATATCCGACTCTTGCGACCCCATGGACTGTTGCCCACCAGCCTCCTCTGTCCATGGGAATTCCCAGGCGAGAATACTGGAGTGGGTTGCCATTTCCTTCTCCAGGGGATCTTCCAGACCCCGGAATCAACCCAGGTCTCCTGCATCGCAGGTGAATTCTTTACTGACTGAGCTATGACTGACATATAACAACCAGTCCAGAGACTGGCTTCTGTCGCATGTGAATGGGAGAGAGGGTCTCTCCATACCTTCTAGGGCAATTCTTCAAATTGCAAAATGATTTTGATTAATTAGAATGGGCTTCCATGGGGGCTCAGTTGGTAAAGAATCTGCCTGCAATGCGGGAGACCTGGGTTCAGTCTCCAAGTTGGGAAGATCCCTTGGAGAAGGAAATGGAAACCCACTCCAGTATTCTTTCCTGGAGAATCCCATGGATGTAGGAGCCTGGCGGGCTACAGTCCATGGGATCTCAAAGAGTCAGCTATGACTGAGCGGCTCACACTTTCACTTGATAAATTAGAAATCCAAACTTAGTCCTCTCTCCATTCCCTGAACCAGCCATTTCTTCCATTTCCAAGGACCCACAGCCCCCCATACCTAGCCCATATTATCTTTTCATTAATATATACTCTCTGCTCTAGTGAGCTATTTCTTTGCTATTCATATACTCCTATTCTAAAACTCTCCTTGCCTTTTTATATGCCCTCTCCTGAAAAGCCCTTCTACCTTCTCAAGAGTGATCTATGTTAGTCCCTTCTTGCAATTCCCAGCTGAAGACTGAGTTCTCCTATAGCAGTTCCAAACTGAACCCTAAACACATGGATGCCCTTGGCTCCAACACCTTCATTTTCCCAGGAACTCTAGACACCAAGGGTTCAAAAGCAATAATAAAGGACTTAATGATCACCATCACAAGGGCTTTGGGAGAACTGACCAAGAAATCACCAAGCTGTCTGCCTGTGCCAACTTAAGTTTGACATAAAAACACATTCTCTGAATGTTTGTCTCCACTCACACAGTCCATGATGCCTCCTCAACAGCCTCTAACATCCATGCATGGATGAACAGAAGTTCACACATCCACCTTTGGTTTGTGAAATGTGTATTGAGAAGCAGTGTGTAAGAGGGAACAAAAATAATTTGTGACACTCAAATTCTTTGTATGATGTGATTTAAGTCACTGAGTCTCTCTGGCAATCAGTTATTTACCTGGGAAAGAGGGCGTGGCAACCCACTCCCGTATTTATGGGTTTTCCTGATGCCTCAGATGGTGAAGAATCTGCCTGCCATGTGGGAGACCTGGGTTCGGTCCCTGGTCGGACATGACTGAGTGACTTTCACAAGGAGTTTGAGTTAGACATTCTTCTATCATTAAATCTACACTTTGACTATCTTATAAGCTCCTTCAAGAAAGAGACCATGCCTGTTTTCTCCCCTGGTTTATATACTCAATGCTGAAAACAATGCTGTACACAAAGATGCTTCATAAATATCTGCCAAGTTAATGACTATTTAGTCCTGCTATTTTGAGACATGATTTTAGGCATTATAGTAAACAGAAAAAGCATGGCCCTGTTCTCATGAAACTTTCATTCTAATAAAGAAGATACACATTGGGTGAAAAATTACAAATAAGATAACTTTCCCAGAACAAAACTGCTATGCGAATATACAGCAGTGTTTTAATCAGTTGAGAGAGTCAAGGAAGGCTAGTATCTATAAAAATGGACAGGAGTTAAACACAAGGTAATGGTGGCAATGGAGGATGGGAGTTTAGATGAAGAATATTCCAGGCAGAAAACAGCAGCTAAGAAATTTGAGAGAAGGACCTACAGCTCTACCATTTTCATTACTCCACATAGTGTGTCTAAAGCAAAGGTGAGTTTGTAAGACATGCATATGAGTGAACAAATGAATAAATGAGTGAATGCAGATTCCTAGAGCCTAAACTATTTCTGAACCACTGAGAGTTTTGTTGAGAAGAATGTTTTAACTTAAATTTGATGTGAGAACTATTTGTAAATGACATCATCAATAAGGTCTAATCCTCTATTTGTGTGGCATGCATGCTTAGTCATGTCCAATTCTGCAATCCCATGGACTGTTCCTGCCAGGTTCCTCTGTCCATGGAATTTTCCAGGCAAGAATACTGGAGTGGGTTGCCATTTCCTACCCAGGAATCCTCTATTTAATTGTAATTAAAATAGTTCTCAGAATGCATGGTCCTAGTCCCATTCAGTTGTTAAACCTTTGAATATAGGAACCATATCCTATAGTTCTGTACCCAGCATAGGACCTAGCTCAGCACTAAGCAATTATAGGGCTCAAACACTCAGCCTTAGCAGTGAATATCCCTTTCAAATATTCTTGGAAAGATTGCTGTTATCAATATGGATAATTCCCGAGTCCTTAAATTTCTGTTAATAGTTTGCATATGGTTGAATCAGAAAGACTAAACCTGCCGTGTTCTTAATGCCTGAGCACCAGCTTCCTGTCATTGTGCCTTTGGAGTAGGGTGTCATTTTGTTCAGGATGCCTCCTTTTCTGATCCATCCATAGTGTTCCCAAGAGATCTGCCATTTTCTAACTAATCCCATTCTTCTGGTTTCAACTGACGGTGGTATAGGGGTTGCAGACTCCTAAAATGGGTCAGTCTATACCCTGGCCTGTGAAGATTTGTTATTTTTGTCTTGTTTTGCCTTGACACCAAAGAGGCAGCTCATCTCCCATCACAGAAATTTCATGGAAAAAAAGACCAAGAGCTATCAGTGGCTATGCTTTCTGTTATATGATGGAAATTGCATTGATGGAATTGCAAAAAGAAAGTCAGCAAAACCAAGTGGAGGCATGAATTGAAGAGAGTGTTCCTGGTTCCATTATGACTGACAACTGGCTACATCTTTGCTCTTCCAAGAAAGCCTCCCATTCTAGCTGTTGATTAGTTGGGTGCCTGCTATTTGAAGTCACTAGTCCTAATCAATACATTTGGCCAAGGACAAGGCTGATGGAATCATAGAATCTTGAAGGAGTCTTCTAGAACAATCTCACAGCATTAAGAAAAACCCTAAGAGGTGGCCATCCAACCTCTGCTTGGCAACTGTCTGGAGAGAGAAACTCAGCAAAGCAACATATTCCATAGTCTCTGACAGTTAGACTCTCCCTCCTGGACACCTAGCCTAAATCTCCCTTTTGGAATTTTACACTTCCTGGGCTCACTGTTAGCAAGTTCAAGCTCCTACTGCTCATCACACGACAGGCCAATAAATAGACAAGTTGTTGGGGCAAGGAATAGTGACTTTATTCAAAAACCAGTAGACTGAGAAGGTGGTGGACTTGTTTTCCGAAGAACTATCCTCCTGAATTAGAACTCAGGTTTCCCTTATATTAAAAGGGGAGAGAGTATAAAGTCAAACACTTCCTAGTTCCCATCAACCTTCAAAGGGGATGTGTTGATTTCTTCCTGCCTGCAGTCATCCACAGGTGGGAGGATGTTTCCTGAGAGCTAAACAAAGGTCCTTTAGCTTAACGTTCATTATCCGAGAGGCAAGGTTCCTAGAGATGGGCCATTATGTATAATTTAAACTTATAAGCAATGTCCTTTTAGCAATTAACTTGTAATAAAATATAAAATTTCTCTCCTATCACAACTCCTCACTGTCAGTGTCCACTCCACCATCTTGTGGGAAAAGGACAAATAACCGCTCTGGCTACTTCCGGAGGTAAGGAATATTCCTTTTTTTTTTTAAATACAGCTATCTAAACCTCATGAGACCCCTTAGTACTTTGTTGTCTAATTTGTAATTGAACTTAGGGGTTTTGATTCCAGTTCCCAATACATATACTGAATTCCCATGCTATTTATATTTGAGCAAAGTTAAATTGGTTGACTCTTCTCCAGCGACAGTGGTATCACTCCAGTTGCATAGGCAGACCTGTTAGAGGCAGACTCATAAACAGAGATTAGTATAGTGCCCAAAGTTTTAGCATAACTGGCAACTGCTAGGTCTTCTAAATCATCTATAGATTCTCTCACCTGGGCAGACACTTGGAATGGCCAACCATTCAACATTTCAAAGAGGCTTAATTTGAGCCTGCTTCTGGGAACCACCCAGAAGGCACTGATCTACAGCAGGGCAGCTGGCAAGGCCTTCAGTTCAGTTCAGTCATGCAGTTATGTCCTACTCTGCGACCCCGTGGATTGCAGCACGCCAGGCTTCCCCGTCCATCACCAGCTCCCAGAGCTTATTCAAACTCATGTCCATCTTACATCAAGTTAGTATTCATTTTCTCAGTTTTTCCTGTTGATTGTGGTCTCCAGGATGAATATAATTCCAATATAATTAATCCAAATCAGGGGAGAATTGCCTTAAAGAGGGCTTCAACTAATTACAAGATATTGATTTTTGAAACTAATAACTTTAAACTGCCACACACAAAATAGTCCACAAAATGTTCTCCTTTTTCTGACAGTTTTACAATCCATTGTTGTCATTATCCAGTCCTTTACTAT